TGTAATTAAGTACTTATCTTTAAATGCCCTCTGTGTGTCTCTACTTGGGTCTCTCCATCTAAGAGGGAATTTAACATTAGTTTTAGTTTAACTAGGAAGCAGATAAAACTAAACTCAATTGAGTGATATTCCATTGCTGAAAGAGAACTTAGTTGTCTGGTAAATCCTAGATTGGATCTGCTGTATGAGGCAGCTTCCTTGTTGGTGTTTCTTCTCAGTTAAGTAGTGACTTCTTCAGGAGCCCCTCAGCCACACCTGCAACTTGGCAGCATCCTGTCCTAACTTACGTTGTTAAAGGAAAGCATACAGTTGTTTGAATTTTGAATCAGAATAATCATTTTTCTCTGCTAAGGCTTAGAGGGAAGTGTTTTGCAAAAAGTCTTCCTGAAGAGAAAAGAATACTTTGAGGACGGACAGTGAGCAGACAAGGGTGGAGGGGTGCGGCCCACAGAGCCCACAACAAAAGTAAACACCAAAATCTTGGACAGGGTAAACAGGCCAGTGTGAAACACAGGCCACCCGATCATGTGGGAACGCCCTGATCAGGGGCCTCAATTCTGCTCTCCCTCCGGCGTGTAAACGGCATGCATGTGTGTAGTGGCGTGTGTCTGTACACACAAAGATTTATCAGGGAGCATAGAGGGAATTAGAAAGAGCCTGGCCTGTTTTTAATTTGAGTCTGTTTGCTTGCATTTAGCACTTGAGGGCTTCTACATTCAGCTTGCTCAAAAGAGTGATGGAGCACTCCTTGCTTATGCCTCAAATCAGAAATGCATGAAGTGCAGCTGCAGAGATAATACATTTTCCCCAAAGGCTTTGGCTGAGCAAATTAGGTGTCAATGGGGTGCCGGCGCAGGCAGTACTCTCTCTAATTAGTCTCTTGAGCCTAGTTGGCGGCGGGTATGAGATGATCTAATCAATTGGTCTGTGTCTGATGGTTGGTGTAGAAATCCTACCAGGCAGACTCTCTCCCACAGGTCACCCGCCTGCACAGCAGGACGCCTCATTTTCATTTCTCATCTCCTCTATCACATGATGCTGACAGTTGGTTTTAAGAAAATTGAATCCAAAAAATATCTAGTTCATAGGGCACATGGGTCAGAACAAAGTTGCATTATGGGTACCAGTGATCCAATTAATTAATATTTATAGCTGAGAAGCTCTATGTAGATACTTCTGAATAAGGATTTTATCAATCGAATCCAATTTCTTCTTTATAACATTCATTTTAGAGAAAGTTCATTGTGAAAACGAAAACTAGATAAAAATGGCACCCACCTGCCTTATGATTTGTATACCTAGGAGTGGCTGTGCACATGGACCATTCAGCTTAAAGTTTGTATTCACTGGTATCATATTTATCCATATTGTGCGTGTGATGTATTTTAGTTGACAATCAAATATAGGAGGGAGATTTACATTTGCATCATGTTTTGCTTCCCTGTCAAAATATATCTTCATTGCTTTAGCCTAAATCCCCACTCATGAGACACTGATTGCCCTGAAAGATTTCTAACAATGTTTTATGTGCTTTCAGTAAAACTTTAAGCTATCGATGCCCAAGGTGAGAATATGAGTATCCTGTGCTCTATAGAAGCATCAGGCAGGAAAGATGGTACCCTGTAGAAGCATCAGGCAGGGAAGATGGTACCCTCTAGAAGCATCAGGCAGGGAAGATGGTGCCCTATGAGCTGTTCAGAGTCATGTCACAGGGATGGGAGGCATGCCGTCACTGGCCCACCCTCTATTTTCTTATTCTCAGTTTCTTCCACTAAACATCAGACCCCAAAGCTAAGGAACGGACTTGCCATAACCACCACACTCACCACTTACTAGCCAGTTACTGCTAGTGTGTATTGGTCCTTTCTAATTCTGCTACACCGTAGCTTAGGTATATATGATTCTCCTATGGATTGCAGTCAGAATCTGGAAAATGCAAGATCAAATATCAGTTTGTAGAAAACATCTTTAATGAACTCGAGAGGATAGGAAAGTGTATGGTGTCAGCATAGCTTATTGTTATGTGAAGTCACATATATTGGAAATCAAAATATTCTTTTTGAATATAATATAGTGAAATAAAAAATATGTTTTTCCTATACCAAAGAATAAAACCTGCCTGCCATTCCTGGCAAGAAGAAGGAGAACCAAGCAAAGACTGTATCATTTGGGGAGAACCAAGAGTCTCATGCCTGGACAAGCATTTGTTGACAACAGCAGCAAACATACACAGCTCTTCTGGATGGAGGGAAGGATAATCTACCTGGAGGAGTTGGAATCTTGTTCTTTTTAAGCTCTATGGAATAAAATGGACATCTCTGATATTTGCTTAATAAAAAGGTCAAAATTGGACTGGAAAAGGACGCTTGAAATAGAAAGTGTTGTGGAAATAGTGTAGGGACAAGTGTTCTCTCCTTGATCTCAAGGACCTCAGAAAGGATTTTCATCCATAGCTCAGAATGTGTGTTTTCATAACAATGCAAATGGAGCAAAGTACATTTTCTCTGTTTCTCTGCAAGAGGTGGGCCTCTAGGGACTGTTATTGCTTGTGCTACGGTTGTGACTTCTAGAAAAGACTTAATAAAGCTGTCTTTGGGTGGAGGTGAGGGGTGAATTCCTGTAGCTAGAGAATGCTACTCAGAACAGTAAACATTCAAAATGCCAATGGATAAGTTAAGATTTGGAGAGAGCAAAGGGCTTATGTGTGGTATCTGTCCAGACCAAGATTTCTCCAGAAACATGACGGGAGGCATCGATTTGCCTCCCATGCAATAAAATGACAGAGAACTCTCAAGAATAGAAAGTGATCCCTCCTTCATACCATACCCAAAATGCATGAAATGAATGAAAAAACCCAAACTATAGGAAATCATAGAAGAAAACATATGATCTAATCTTTAGATTTTGTTGTGCTTTTTTAAATGTGACACCAGAAGTATAAGTAATGAAATAAAAATATGTAAATTGAACTCCATTAAAATCCAGAGGATGTTGTTACTGGCAATCCATAGCAGAAAGTTATTTTCAAGTTGTATATTTGATGAAAATTTATTGTCCCAAGTGTATGAAGAGCTGCAACTCAGCAGCAGAAGCAGAATAAATTATAAGGTGAGGAAAAGACTCAAGTAGATATTTCTCTGAAGAAACATTTCCATGTGGCAAGTAAGCTCGCTAAAAATGTGTTCAATGCCACTAACGATTAGGAAAAGGAAAATTAATAGCAGTAAGTCAGTTTGCCATAATATAATAACTACAACGTAAAATAAAGAGTAAACAAACTAGTGTTGACAAGGGTATGGTGAAATTTAAGCACTTCTTCATTGTAAGTAAGGAGCTAAACAGGGCCTCACTATGAAAAGTTTTGTCGGTTCCCCAAAACTGTACAGGTGAAATTCCTACTTGACCCAGGAATCACACCTGCTGCTGTATAACCAGGAGATTCAAATCAGGTATTAGAACAAACACTTGCCACACCGGTATTGATAGTGACTTTATTTACAGAAGCCACAGGATAATACAATTCAAGCATATATTAACTGATGGGTAAGGCCCATGTGATATAACCATATAATGAGGCATTCCTCAAACATTTTATAAGATAATGAAGTACTGTTACATATTACAACATGGTGAGCCTTAAAAACATTATGCTCATTGAAAGGTGCCAAATGCAACAGGTCCCACATTGTCTGACTCCTCTTAGATGAACTATTCAGAATAGGTAACATCATAAAGACAGGAAGAGCATTGGCGCTAGTCTGTGGGTAGGGCAAGGAACCATGAGAATGACTGACGTAAATGCTGTCGAGTCTCCTTGGAAAGTGCTGAAATGTTTGAAACTGCATAGAGATCATGACTGTACAGATTGTGATTGGACTAAGTACCACCCAGTTATGCACCTTGAAGTGGTTTGTTTTGTGGTATATGAATTATGCATTTCACCTCCATTAAAAAAATAAAACTGAAGGTGAGGGTAGAATTCTAAAACTTCATCAGAGTAAGTGAAGACCAGTAGAGGGTAGGACCGGCACTGTTCTCATGTGTGCGCTCTTGGTTCATTTGCTGCTAGTCCACTGCCAGGCTGTGGGAGCAGCATCAGGGCGAGTGTGTAAGGTCTCCGGCATAGTCAAACCTGTGGGGGCAGTTTTGGGCCACCATTTCTCCTGTGTCCAGCAGGATGACAGGATGTTCCTGTAGATGGTAATGGGCAGGCCTGGCTAGGCAGTGGCCAGGAACAAACTTGTCAGCCGAGTTGACAAATGGGTTCTGAGATGAAGTAGATCGGAAACATCAACTCCTTCAACTGTGGGACTTGAACTTGGGGAGTCCCACACTTTACAAAACTGGATATTCCTTTTCCCACCCAGGGGTTCAACAAAGACGAATATGAGCTTTATTTAAAGTATGGAAAGGAAAGTTCCTTCATTCTCACTGATGCCCTCGCCTACAGTGGGTTCCCACTTTCAATCAGGTGTCTTTGGAAGCATGAAGGCTTGTTCAGGGTGTTGGGAAGGGGGGCGGGGAGGCACGCTGGCCAGCTTCATTCTGGTGAATCTCATGCAACCAAGGAATTGCGTGGCTGGTTTTTAAAGGAGTGGGTGTGATCCACTTTTTCTCTTTAGCTTTCATACAAACAAACATGATGATCTGTCCTTCTAATGTTCCGGTGCTCTGGGCACTCAGTTAAGACCAGCATTGCCTCTAATGGGTGAGGGAAGGAATTTAGCTGGATGTATTTTTCGCTAAATAGTCCAAAAGGAATTTATCCCATTTAAATTCATGGAGCTACAGTATTTCAAGGGAAGAAAATATAGTCAGAACGTTTGTTTATCATATTTAAGAAATGTTTTCATTGTTCTACTTCTGATCTATGAGCTGTGGAGAGCAGCGGTGGGCTCAGTTTGGCCTGACCAATTTTAATGTCTCAAGTAATTCAGTAAAAATGAATGATGTAAGTTTTTTTTTCTTAATGTAACAAGTTTCTCTTTTCCTTCTTCCAGGATTAAGTTGTCATCATTTTGGGAAGAAAAAGAAAAAATAAAAAAGTAAAAAAAACACTAATGAAGTGGCCAACAGTGCGGGGCTCCTGGATCAGTTCCCCTGTGCCCCCCGTGGTGGATTTCACTTACAAGAAAATTGAAGCTGGCAAGACCCTGTTTTCTCTGCAATTTATTTAAAACCTTGCACGCATTTGGATACCTTGTGATTTCCAAGAGCTATGTGAAGATTAAGCTTTGCTTACTGATACATGGCATGTATTCTTTTCAGTCATTTGTGTTTGACTCTGACTTCCCTCTGCTGCGCAGTGTCTCTGTGAAGGTTTTCACGCTTTCACCAGCCATGTCTTAAATACATTAAGACAACACATTTGGTGTTCACACTTCCTCAGTAATGTCTGCACTTGAAAGCCACACAGTGGCATGAAACAATGTGTGTTTTCTTTGAGAGTAGAGCACATTCTGCAACCACCAGGAAGGACATCCTTATTGCTAAAACAAACCCCGTGTTTTCTGACTGACTAGACTGCATGGGCCCAGACAGTGAGCCCAACCTGTTGCTTACCTTCGAGGACTTTTGGAAATATGGGGTTTTCTTTTTTTGGAAATGTCCCCACATTTATAGGAAACCAGAATCTTCTTGGCATTTCCAATAGCCTGGCTGTTTCTGAGCATCTTGTGGGTAGAGAAACAAGCACCAAGAACGAAGACAAAGATGAAGGCTGGCTTTTTTTTTAACCTGTAGAAAACAAAGCAACTTTTTACATGTGTTCTGAGTCTTGTCACCATCTTATTTTTTTCATCAGCTCTGTTATGTTCTGTGTGTGTGTTTCTTTTTAAACTGGAGAAATTAGTGAGGAATATCTTTCTTAAAACTTGGGTGCAAATTTAAAAAAAAATCTGACAGGGTGAGTCTTGGAAGCCATCTTGACCAATTAATGCTTAAAAAGCAAATTTGAAAATTATCTAGAGTTAAAAATTGCTAACTTACAACAAAGCACCTCTGAATTAGATTGTTCAGAAACATTCCAAGCCCTTCAGAAGGCATCACTGGGTGCCAGATTTTCAACCAGTCTCCTGCAATAACTGTCCGAATTCAGTTCTTCAAAAGCAATGTGGGAATTTTGCTTTCAAAATAGAAATGGCAAAAAAAGACCTGGCTTCCCTTGTTTTAAGGAGCTTGGGGACCTTGGCAGATGAAGGCAGGTCTGAGTTACTAGGAGAGAGGACTCTAGCATACACTGCATCCTGATCTGATGGGAGCTGCCCAGTGCTGGCCTCTTCCACAGGGAGCTTCACTAGAGAACCCCAGTAAAGCCTGGCCCAAGGAGCAGTTCGGAACTTCACATAAAGCATGCCCTTTGCACCTCCTGACACAAATCCCCATGGAAACGCATCTGTGCCCATTGTTCTATGTTTTACTACCCCAGAGAAAAGAGGAGAAACTATGAGCGTGAAATATGTCACACAGTTTTAGGATCAAGACAAGGAATTGTGATCCAGTTTGACAAGGGCTTTCTGATTCTCAAATGAGGGATAGGCTTCTTTGTAGTCAAGCCCGGCGTGTCCCTGGAAGCAGAGTCTGGCTCCTAGATTTCAAAGGCATTGTCTCTGAGTCATAGGCATAACCCACCCTCTAGTCTATCCAGAGGGTGCAGTAGCTGCAATCTTGCAGACACTGAGAGAGGAATTGCTTCCTGAATGGTTTGAAGGAAGGCCCATGTGTCACGCAAGGGGACAGTGTTTACTGTTGGCTGCCTGGGAATGATATTCAGTTCCCTTTCATACATCCCTTCCATGGGAAGTCTTTGCAGGTATTTTGACTTAAAGTATAATTAAATTGGGAGTTCTTTAAGTGGGGAGAAAACTTTATGTGTAATTAAAAAACAGTCTTCCCTGTGATTTGCTTGAATCCTCCATTCATCTGGGGAGGGGAGCACATCATGTTTATATTTCACTAAGTATAAGTCAGGAGCTCCATGATCATGTTGAAAGGTTTCGAGTAAGAATATAAAGGCAGCTAGAGATCCGTGCCCTTGTCTAGACAGCTTCTGGGAAGTGAGACACAGCACTGCTCGGTGTGGGGTCTGCCTCGTCAGGCCCACCTCTCTGGTGAGAAGGGTTTCGGTTTCCGGCCCTTGTCATCAAGGAAGGAAATCTGAAGTGTCTGCCCAACCCCAGCCTAACACAGTCATATGCCCCTCCCCTGCCTTTCTCTCCCGCCCTCTCTGAGGGCGTCATGAAAATCAGTACACACTGCGTGCATTAACGCGTTAGTATACTATTGAAAAAGCACTGGAATGCTTGGTGAGATTATTTTTCTATGAAGGAATAGTTTGAATTTGGACAGCTGGTAAGAATAGCAGGAACACCTTGGCATGGTGATTGTATCAATTCAACCTCACTGCATACAGTATTTGGAAAGGAAGTATGGGACTTAGTTTCCATCTTCTTAAGGGGAACAGTTTAACTAGTTAAGAAATACAAGATACATAGGATGCAAAAATGTGTTTGCTGTAGTAGGCAAAAAATTAGAGGTATAAGGCAGGGCCAGCTGTCTACCCACCATGCAAGGGTGAGAATTCGTTTCTAGCTCTCAAGTGACTAGAAAAGTTTCCAAGGGAGCCTGTGGGAATGTAGGAAAACCAGACCTCCTGGTACCCTTTCCTCTGTGTGCATAAGACAGCCACTGTAATCAGTCCCCTGTGTATGTGCCCATGGCAGACGCCCATCTGTGAATATTACTGGTTTGTAATCTTCTATTATATAAGAGGATGTCTAGGTTGTACATACTGGGGTAGACCATTGCCTACCCCTATACATAGAAATATGCTGCATAATTGTGTATAACTTCCTTCTCGGTTCCTGGCTTGTACACAGAGGAAACTATATTAGTCTTCCGTTTCCTCGTATACCAAGCTGAACATTTTTAAATCTCCAATGACATAAGCAGTTTCCCATTCTCACTGCCCCTTCTCACGGCAGCATATAATAGAGGCACATATGAAATCTATGTTCTTTGTTCGTGAGTGGACTTTCACATTTTTTCTTGTTTCCTTTTGTTTCTTTGCCCCCTCTTGTTTATATTACACACTGAGATGTGTGTGTTTTAACGGGGTTAGTACCTCTGAGACTCATTATGCTTCAACATGACACATAGCAAGGAGAATGGAATACTACATGTTGCATATGTGTTGCCAATTGTAATTTGTCTGTATTATGAAGGATGTAATGGTTTGTCAGCTGTCATTGTTGTTTTCTGTAACATGATACGGAATAAAGTATAGCCGAATCTGCAGATATCATCTTGCTACATATTCGTGTGTGTCCAATATAGCTTAAGACTCAGCACAGTTCTTCTGAAGGAGCGATAGAAGAGATAGGCTGCACAACATATGGGAACAAAGTGGGTTCCTGGAGGGTTCTAGAATTCTTGTAAGTCTTTCCCCCTTCTTGCTTTGCTGTGGCAAATTTGGTAGGACCTCGGGGGCCCTGTGAGTCAAAGCTATGAGCTACGTTCCCACATGGTCTACCTAGCTCAGGTACATTTGGAGTCTATTTGTTAATTGTAGTCGTCTCAATCTTTTATGCAATTTCTCTGGCCGTACACATGTTCCCATGTGAGGTGAGTGGGTGGCCGTCCCCTGACATCCTGTAAGGCTCTGCAAACATTCTTGGAGAGGCTGTACCGTTCTCGTAGACCCAGCTGGTGTGTATCTGTGACATCACCACAGGGACAGTGCTGGGAGCCCACATTTGGATATTGACAACATGGGAGACACACCTTTTCCTTTTGTCACCTTGGGATCTGCCGCAACCCCAAACACGCCCACATGATTTCACAAGTTACTAATAAGAGTCGTGACAAATACGGTTTTCAGTATACAGAGGGTATTCGCTGATTTGAAAGTGTTTGCAAGGCTGCATTCCTCTTAAGGAGACCCAGACCCCTGGCTTCCTCTCTGCAGACCCTGGCATGCCAAGAGCAGCCAGCTCTCTCTCCCTGTGCTCCTCTGTGGCCACTGGGATTTCTGTTTTCAAGTCCTCTGCAAAGCCACATTTCCATAGTTAAACACAACAGTTCTGAGCCTATGTGCATTCCACATAGGAACAGCTCATGTGAGCCGCTGCGCCTCAGCCCCCAGCTGATTCCACCGCTGTCTGTAAAGCACCTGTGCTAAGGGACAACTCATTCTGAGACAGTTGCTATTTCATCCCCTCTGTATGTTGAGCTAGGGGGCTTCACAATAACCAAAGTAGCAACAGTTTGTAAATGTGGGGATCCATAAGTTACTGCGTCAAGCAACCAAAGCCACATGGGTGTAAAAACATAACTTGTTCTGGGAAGGTGTTTCAAAGGAGCAAAATTGCAGGGCCGCCTTTCACTTCCCAGCAGCTGTGTGGCCTCTGCTGGGAGTCATTCCCAGCAGCCACAGCAACTAGCTAGCGTTCATTGTAGAGCTTGACCGCAGTCCACCATTGGTCTCATCACATGAGCTCTTAATAAGCCAAAGGGGGATGGAAGACTGGAATCCACAAAAGCAAAGAAATACATCTGAGAAATATTTTTAACTTTCTTAAAGTGGTGGCAGAGGTGTCAAGCACCCTCTGAGTTCCATAATTACCCAGCATTCCTTCTTTTTCAGCAGGGGCTGTTCCATCTCTGGCAGGATGTGATGTGTGCCGTCGGAGCCAGGCAGTTAGAGTCTGGAGGACAGCACGCTTGTCATTGCTCTTGGCCCCCAGAGTGCAGAGAAACCAGAGGGGAAGGTGTTGGAGCAACCTTATGCCACTGGGTTAACATGCACAGTCGCTGAATAATGGCAGGCATTGTAAATAACCGCAATGAGAACGCACAGTGGCCCAGCAGCCTGCTGCTACCAGCGGGTGGTGGCGTTATGGGCATTAGCTTTGAGAAGCTTATATAGCAGAAGGGCTAGGATAAAGGACACAAATCAGGGGAAAAACTGACAAGATTAAAAAAAAATCCAAGGCCTCGTATTTACTGCTCATCCCTCATGCTCTCTGTGTGCTGTATTGTCTGTGTTGGGTCGTGCTGAGACGGAGCCAGGCACAATAATAGCTCAGAGCAGCCTGGCAGCCCCAGAGCCATCCTGTGCCAATGGTGCTGACAGAGCCAGCTGAGAGCGGGACTCTGGTAAAGTTGTCTTTTCCCCCTTCCCTGCGAGACCACCAATAATTAGATGAGGCATACTGCAAAGGCAGAATGAGGGTGGTCTCTCGGGTGTATCCTGAAAAGCGACCCAGTAGGGATTCCTGGAAAGGTGTGTGCTATGCTGCCCATGGGGGCCTGCCTAACACGTGTGCACAGTGCCAAGAAGCCCGGGGACATGTCCAAACTACCAGTTCAAGGGCAGAGAGAAGCTAAAAAACTGAGCTTTGTAAATAACGCCACGGAGAGAAGCAATTTCCTCCCTTTCCTCCAGCCTCAGTAACTGCCCGGCTGCCTCTAAAGAAAAGCTGCAGTCTACTGAGCTCCGAGCAGACACAGCTCTAAAGAAAAGCTGCAGTCTACTGAGCTCCGAGCAGACACAGCTCTAAAGAAAAGCTGCAGTCTACTGAGCTCCGAGCAGACACAGCTAGGTGACTATCTTGCCTAACGCTGGAGAAATTCAGGACCCCATGGAGTCATCGCCGATCCAGTGGCTTTCAGCTCCAACTCTTGTTGGAATTACCAGGAAGTTTTAAAAGCACCTCCACCCCAAACCAATTCGCTCCAGAACTATTGAGGGTGGGGACCTGGCACTGATTTGTTTGGGGAACTCAACAGGTGATTGTATTGTGCAGCCAGTGTGGGAACTGCTAGACTCTTTCCTCCAGCCTGGGGTCCATGGTGGGGACAGACAGAACTTTCTTTGCGTAGGCCAGAGAGCAAGAACTTTTGACTTTCCAGCCTACGAAATGCCACAGCCACCCACTTTACAATTGTGGTGTGAAAGTGGCATTCACAACACACACACATGCAGTGTTCAGATGAGATGGTTTGCACACTCAGACTTGGGTTTTATGTAATTTTCAGATGCATGAAATATTGTCTTGGTTTTTTTTTTTAAAGGCGTTCACAAGTATAAAAATAGGGGCTAGAGAGATCGCTCACTAGTAAAAGCAATTGGTGTTCTTGCAGAGCACGGGTTCCCAGCATCCACACGGAGACTCATAACCATCTGTAACTCCAGTTCCACGGATGTGACTTCCTTCTGGTCTCTGTGGGTACCAGTGCTCACAATGTGCACATATACACACACAAGCAAAATACTCATGAAAGTAACATTAAAACAAAGACACCCTTAAATCTTGGTTTAGGATGGAGTTGATTTTCTTACTTTTGGGAATGATAGTGTGTCTCCCTACTTAATAGCTTCCTAAACCTTTTCCATGTACCGCCCCCCTTTTATGTGAGAATGTTTTACAGCACCCTGGACATATAGGTATATAAAATAGGCACACAGATCAGACATTTGCTGATAGTGCATCATAAATAAGCTTATTTTACGACTTTAGTGGTGGCTGAGATGATAAAAGTACGTGCAGACAAACCTGGCAACCTGAATTTGGTCCCTGGGATGTAGAAAGAGAATCAGCTCCACAAAGTTATCCTCTGACCTCCAAATGTGCCCCATGGTGCATGCTATTGCACAACACATACACAAAAAATATTTTTATATTTTTAATTAAAATGTTAAAATAATTTTTCATATAAAATAGCAATTTTACCATTTATTTTAAAACAGGAAATTAGCATGCTAGTGAGTGAGGTGGATATGCTTAGTTATTTCTACAGAGAAATTAAAATTTGGCAGAAAATTTGATATTGGGGACATGGAGCATCTTCAATGATTTTCAGATCTCACTATTTTGATTTTACTATTGCCAGCGGTAAGAACACTGCCACCTCAGAAAAGCAAAGTCTGCCCTAATCCCAAGACAAATTTAGCTATTATTCAGGAAACTCAAATTAGCAAGTTGGACAGCAATTGTTAAAACCAAATGTTCTCATTGCAATGCATTCTAAATGTACTCATTTTATACTCACATGTTGAAGAATCATGGCGGGAATTATTAAAGGTCTCTTTTTAATTTTTTTTATTTTATGTGTATGGCTGCTTTGCTCCACCTGTCTGTGCCACTCTGGGCATGCAGCTCCCAGGAAGACAGAAGAGGGTGCCAGATCCTCTGAGACTGGAATTCCCAACAGTTGTTAATCATCATGTAGATGCTAGGGACCACAGCTGGTCCGCTGAAGAAACAGTATGGGCTCTTAACCACTAAGCCACCTCCCAGCTCTTTGAAAGTATCTTTTCCACAAGGAAGCCATGTGGCTGTAAAACATCAGAAAGCTGGCCGTGTATACATCTATCTCTCAAGACGTTGTAATCTTTAGCAGGTGCCATACAAAGTACATGTGCATCCAGAACGAAGTCTGCAATGGTGTGAAATACAACAGAGACGAGGCTGCCAGAAACACCCTGGACCTACTGAATGCTTTGGACATAGTTTCTGAGGATTATCGCCAAGTTTGAAGGAACCTACGTTTAGTTACAAGATCCCAAATGGGGTTACAGACCACAGTTAAAGAAGCTGGGATTTAGAAGCCAACCCTGGTAAGGGGGCAGATAAGGACCACGTCTAACATTTGCAAGACCTAGGATCAGAGTGAAAATGAAGATCCATGTCTCTAAGCCCTTAAGATGCAAACTGAGACTGCCACTTTGAAACATGCCTTCTTAATGACCAGGAAGACCAGATTCCCACTTAGAATTCTTGGGCTTGGGGTTTTTCACCCAAACACGGCTTCCTCTCATTTCCCACATCACTTCAAAACTGATGATATCCAGGTTTCTTTTTAATCTCTGTGTCCCCATGACTAAAAATGGTGCTCAGGGTACAACAGAAGGTTAGCAGAATTTAAAACTAGTGTAGCTTATGTAAGACTGAAATGGGGATATCATTTTCCTTTCTAAGAAAAGGGAAACTTCAAAGAACGTTAGTGTAGTAAATGGATAATATATGGAGGGATACAGGAGTATGTGCAAAGGCCTTCCTGGCCGTAAGAGCTGATCTCTGTGTGCTAAGACCATGTTGGAAGCCATATGGTTAAGGCAAAAAGGCAACAGTATGGAAGAATTTCTGCTTGAAATGGAACCATAAAATAACCAAAAAAGATCTTTTAAGGACTTTAAACAAGACATAAATATGAACTAACTGGAAAACATAAAAGAGTACATTGTAACAGTGTATTTAATAAATAACAATTGAGTGTCTTCCATGTATCACCAA